GGCCGATAAGGGCCTGAATGCGTACAGCATCTCGTTCGGGAGCTGCCTTTTGTACAACAGCATGTTCCCACGGCACAAGGAGCGCATGGACCGGAAGGTTGCTGAGCTGGCAAGGGACGTGGCGAAGGTGGAGCTGCCGCCGGGACGCGGCCACCTGGACGTGGTGGTGGCATGCGAGGACGAGGATGATAACGACATTGATATTCCTCAGGTTTCGGTTTACTTTCGTTGAGTGATTATGCGTCTTTTTTTCGCCTTTGAATCGATTTAGTTTTATGTTTTCGGATTTCTTTTCTGGGGTTTACTGCATTTTTATTTCATGGAATCGGAATATAACTGAAGAACTTTGATAATATGCATGGTGTTTTTATTTCATTTAGTAGCTAACAATATAGTCTGATGCATTTCGTTGCTATGGCTGCTATCATCGTTTTTTCAATAGAGATTATGTTTCCTTTTCATTTAAAAACAACTACATTTGATACAGTAATTATTAATTTTTGCAGTAAAATAAATCTTTTTAAATATAAACGAACACTTAATGTATCAAAAAGAAAAATAGCATCAGTGAAGTCGTCAAGTTTGATGATAATGCGGTCGAGTGAGCCGATCGGGACACGAGTGTTTGGCCTGATTCTCCATGAGCTGAGCAAAAAGAAGCACCTCAAGATTCTCAGCCTTGCCGAGCATATAATAGTCTGATGATGAGAGTTTCTCCGTTTTATTTTCTTCTAAACTTGATGTTGATGTAAGGTTTGAACAGCGATTTTACATGTATTGCGGGACTCGTCGACATCCTCCTCCGACGAGGTCTTGTTTTTGTGCTTATATTCAAATATAAGAGAAACATTCTTAACACGAGACCATAAAAGCGCCGAAAAGAAACATATTATTTAATAAAAATCGTCGAAGAGAAACGTGTTTCTAACAAGAGGCCTAACCAATAAATAAGAAAATATATAAAGCAGAAAACGTGATTCTAACAAGAGGCTTAAACCTACCAACCAAACAAGAGGCCTAAAGCTATCAATCTAAAGCTTTAAGAACATAGTAAGTAATGCCCGAAAGTGTAACGATCCAAAGAAAAGGTGCAACAGATAGAAAACGGGACCACTGTCCTTCCATTACGCCGAAACTCTCCAACTCGTTCGTCCCACAATCGTAAAGCAGAACCGTACCGTCAAAGTCGAGGAGAATCACTCTCTCACTATTATTGCATAGGCCCACAACCTCGGTGACATCAGCATTCACCGGGACACGAGCCGTTGACACGCGAGACCAACTACGGTCCGCGTAGCTCCATACCCAAATCTCGAACCACAAAGGATTATGATTAGTCTTCTTTTCATTGTCGATAGGCTCAATATCCTTCCAACCAAGACAATCATTTTGTAATATAACGGCAAGCGACCCGTGATAGTTCACAAGAACGGGCTTTATGGGCCCGGCCCGATAGCTAGCGACTTTCGGCATGTGAATGAGATCGGTCGGAAACTCATGGCGACCGAAATCGAACCGAAGAATAGCATCGCGGTTATCGTCCTTTGAATGCACGGACCAGTAGTAAAAACCGTTCACGTGAACTGAACGCACGTTATCGACATCTATTTTTTCCGGATTGTGAGGGAACGGTATTTCCCTCCACAAGCCGGTGGAGAGCGATAGGAGCTCGGCCCGTTTTTCAATTGAAGCCCGGACAACCTTATAGTCGTCGGAGCCGGAATCGAACCCGACGCCCCAAAGGGTATACGGAGAGTCAGCAGATGAGGGCAGCCGCGGTTTCATAGGGAATTGAGGAATGTGTCTGACCTCGTCGGTGGTGGGGTCCCACATGAGCTCGGCCGGAATTTTGGAATGTCGGCCGCCGGAGGCAAACACCAACCACTTGTCGCAGTAGGCAAGGAATTCATTGCGTGTGCCGCGGCTATTCAGACGAGAGAAATTGGGGCGATCGGGTAGAACTGATTTGAGCAAGTTGTTTTCCATTGAGACTAGGGATATCTTGTGGTGTTTTCTGTTCTTAACTGGATGCACCAGTAGAATAAAGTTTTCTTCGGCGGCGGCGGCGGCAGCAGAGGCGGTAGCGGGGTTGCTGTTGTTAATGTTGTCTTGCTCCAGATTGCGGCCGAGCGCCGGAGTGCCGAAACGACGGACGCCGGAAGAAGGATTGCGATGTAAGATCCGGCTCGTGGCTGTGATCGGTGGGCTTGAACGGGGATTTAATCCGGCAACGGCCGCGGCGGCCAATTTTCGGAGGGCCATTGTTTCTTGCGGAGGAGAAAAACGAATTCAGAAATTTTTAATTAGCTCAAACTGTCAAGGCATCCTTTTATAGAGAAAAATGCGTCGTTTATTGGTTTTTTTTTTATTATTTCTTTCACCAAGTATTTATCTACTTGCTATTCAATTAAACGGTTTTATTAGAATTTATTATCGCTTAATACTTATTTGTTTTGATTCTTTGCCTAATTATCCTTTTAGTTAATTAATTAAAATGGGTTTAGTTCAAGGGTTTACGTTCGCTTACAGGTCGGCGTGTCCTATTCTCGCTCGGTTCTAGTCTAAGCTTTGTGTAGCCTCCTTTTCTTGCACAAAAAATAAATAAATAAATAATTTTTTGAAATTTTCTAGAACCCAAAATATCAGGCAATTCAAGAAGGGACAAATAGAAGTTAATTATAGAGAAAAATTTGACCATAAAATTTCACTCTTACATATACATAAAATGAAACTAGAATCCATCGTGAGTGATATGAATCATATGTACAAATCACAAATCCTTGACCATCTTTTAGCTGTTACTTACATTCGAGCTATAGTTACAGTGATATTATATCATAAAATTCCAACATTTCAAAACCTCAAATTCTTAATAAATTTCAACAGAAATTCATTCCAGGAACTATGAAAAATTTTGAGAGAATAAAAAAAAAGTGCCATCGAAAGAAGATCCCGAACATTATAATTCTTTTTTTGTAATATCTCTATTTTCTTTTGCTTGTCCTCGGATTTTTGGAGTTTTTTTTTTTTTGTTTTTTTATGAAATAAAATTTTTCCTACATCATTTGTAGTTTTTTATTTTATTTATTTAATATTGTTGTTTTATCCCCTGATCTATATATTTTTGTTTTACGGATTTATATTTGTTTTATTTTACTTTTATAATAAGCAATTTCTATTAATATTTATCATTTTCAATTTAAGGCATACAAACTAAATCAAATTTTTCAACGAACCTTTTCTTTATTGTATCACATTTTTTGCGGTGAAACATCTTTTAGATATAAATAATAAAATTTATTATTATTTTAACTTTTTTTTCATAATAAAATTTAATTCACACACGGTTCTTCATGTTAATTGTTTGTACTACAAAATGTTAGAATAGAATAATATAGATATGAAATGCAATGTTTATGGATAACTGATTTACAAGTGTTTCTATTCATAAATAAATTTCATATTTGTACTTAATAATATTTTTTTAATATTGTTATGCAATAGGTACAATCTAAATCTCTTTTTAAACAAATAAATCCATTTTAAAGATTATATTTTATATTTATTCCAAAGATTGAAATCAAACTAACCATAAAATGAGATTAAGAGAATAAAAAAATAAATACAAATTAATGAGAATGCTAAAATTAAAAAAAAAAAGATAAATATGAAATGCAATCATTATAGAAATTTGATTTACAAGTGTTTATATTCATATAAATAATCTCTTACTTGAATGTAAGAACTTTTTTTTTTTACATATTGTTATGCAAATACAATCAAATTTATTCCAAATACTGGAATCAGTATGATGATTAAATGAGACTAAGAGAATATAAGAGATAAATATAAAATCCACTAATCATAATAAAATTTATTTAATACTGACATAATATTCGGTTCTATTCAACTACAAATCATACTAACTATATTTGAGATTTTTAGCTATCTTTTTTTTTACGATATCATAATTTTTGTGGTGAAAATCTTCTTCTTTTTTATATTATCCGAATAAACAAAATTCGTGATATTTACCACATCAAGAAATATTATCACTTCAATTTCATACCATATTTTTTGATTTGACACGAATGCGAGACTTATAAATATCCAATCAAACTCATACGATAAAAGCATCTTGCACGAAAATATAAAAACACATATTGTCATGGTTAGTCTTTATCGCATATAGTTGTTATTGGAGAAATCGTTTTTTAGTCAAAATCAATTATATGTTGTTGTTTCGTGTACAACTAATAGGAAGTGATAGAAAATATTAGTTTGTGGGAACGATGAGTTTCCCAGTAATCAAACTGATAATGTTGTGTACAATGAGACTTTTAATAATGTATGACTTATTGCCCTGGTCCGAGAGCTATACTCAAAGAAGTTCCTTTTTTCGATTGTAAGGCAGACCTAAAAGTCCACCCGTGTGTTGTTACCAACGAAAAAAATTATGATTACTTTACAAATATCTTACGAAACATAATTTATTTAGTAATAGATTTCAGCTTATATATAAAAAAAAATACAAATCGTGCATCGCACAAATTACATACAAGTTATAATTTGGATACCAAAGAATGCATAATTCGAATAAGCTAATCCTATATTCTCACATACAATTTAAGTCCCAAATACTTCTCAATATCATTGTTTATTTTTACTTCAATGCTCAAGGAATAAAGTGCAAGGAAAGAGTAAAACCAAAGCACTTTTATAAAGTGAGATGAGAAAAAACGGTGGGGAATAAAGCTGCGACTCTCTGCCAAACCCCAAACCCTCGCCCGATTTTCCAGCTTCTTCCTTCAATTCCCCCAACAAATCCACATTTCCCCCTTTTCTCATTGCGAACAAATTCATTTCCATAACTCCATGGATCAATAAATGAACAATCAATCACCATCTTGATCGATCTGCCTGAAAAATCCCCATCACCGCCGTGAATCTGCAGTTTGCGCGCTGTAAATCCGGGCCAGATTTCAATATTCTCCGAACCCATGTGGCTGAGGCGATCCAAAACCCGAGCCCGGGTCCACAACGCCCCCTCGCCCAAATTCGCCTGCTCCTCCTTCAAGGACGTCCAGACCCTCTTCTCCCCCGACGATTTCGCCGCCTCCGCCCCCGGAGATGGCAGTGGCAGCCCTCTCGGGTCCCCCTCCCAGCCCTCCATCTGCCACCGCACCCGCAGCGTCAAGGCCCTCCTCCGCACACTCTCCCACCACGCGCCGCCGCCACCGGACGGCGGCGAAACCGCCTTCCCCGAGATCCGAGTCCCCGGCGCTGCCGATGATTCCGTCGTGATCTACTTCACGAGCCTCCGGGTCGTCCGCCGCACCTTCGAAGACTGCAAGGCCGTGCGGACGATCCTGCGCGCCTTCCGCGTGCCGGTGGACGAGCGGGACGTGTCAATGGACTCTGCCTTCATGGAAGAGCTGCGAAGGATCCTGGCCGTGCCGGGGAGGCCGAGGCCAAGGCCGACCCTGCCTAGGGTTTTCATCGGTGGCAGGTACGTGGGTGGGGTGGAGGAGGTGAGGCGCCTCCATGAGAGCGGGGAGCTGAAGAGCTATATGGAGAGGCTTCCGGCAGCTGCCCCCGGCACCTGCGAGTCTTGCGGCGGGTACAGGTTCATCCTCTGCCCGGACTGCAGCGGGAGCCACAAGTGCTACAGTGAGAAAGCGGGCTTCAGGTGTTGTACCTCCTGCAATGAGAATGGTCTCGTCAGGTGCCCCTCTTGCTCCACTGCGCCCCTATGAGCAGTTTATTTTTTTTTATTTATTTATTTTTTTTCATCTTCTGTTAGTTTCAATTAACTTGTTTACTAGGTAATGTTGATCAAATGTAGGTTTTTATGCATCTGTTTTTGGTGTGAGACATGGGTTTCTTTCCCTGTGTCTTTTTGGGCTGATTTTGACATTTTTGTGTGTGTGTGTGTGTGTTGATTTTGGGTAGTTTCTTAATGTAATTTAGTGTGGCCCAAGTAAGAAAATAAAAAATCGAAAAAGTGAAGATGAAGCAATGGGCCAGAGGATAATCATATAAGGCTGTGTATTGTTGTTATGAAGGTGTTTGCCAGCCCTTTGGCATTTGATTCTGTTGTCAAGTTTTCAGGATCTAGATAATTGCTAGTGATGTGTTTTTTTGGTGATGATATTCGTTGTAAGCTAACTTAACGGTATAAGTTGCGATTAAGGAATTAAAATTCTTATTATTATTTTTTTTCTTGCTTTTGTTATTTATATTTTGCTGGATTTTGATTTCAATAGTTCTTTTACGATTCTATGCTGTTTCTTGTATTCATCCTTTGCGGCTCCTTTGTGCTTACATGTGTGTCACTTGCTCAGTCAAGGGGACATATATACATGTCCACGAGCATCTTCCATTGAAAGAAAGGATAATGCTGCTGAAGAAGCAGATGAATACGTAGAAGTGAATGAATTCGCAGAGCATTTTTTACTCCCACGCTAAATTTTAGAGAAGAAAAAACCTTTTGCGAGTCAAATGCATATAGAAGTCATTTGAGTTTTTAAGAGCTAATGATATCAGTATGCTAACAATATTGGTCTTTGAACTGAATACATTGGTGTTTAGGTCCCAACTCTAGTTTGTATGACATTGGAAGAAGTACATTGTGTGATGAAAAGGTCCTCATCAGGTCCCCCCGATCTAACCACACACATACAAGCATTTTTTAATCAACTTCTTGGTTAATAATGGTGATTAGTATTAGGTTTTATCCATCGGCTTTTTACTGTAGGTTAATTGCTTGTGTGTGTGTGTGTGTGTGTTTGGATTGTAATACCGCTTTCTCTTTAATGTAGTGGCCAAGAAAATTATATAAAAAAAGGAGAGAAAATTGTTCGGAAGAGAATGGTTTGTTTATTGCGTGTTGTTTGTTAGCCCCTAGTTTGTTTATGGTTTGTTGTTGGTCTGCCCTTGACAATCATTTCATTTCGAATTCTAAGAACTTTTAGCAACGCTTCAGTTGACTAAAGTTGCAGGCCAACTTTAATTGTTTGCCCTTTTCAATTAGATTTTGTCGAGTTATTGAAAAATTTAAAACTACCTTCATCTTTATATGATTGTGGCTCGTGGATTGCTTAGCTGGACATTAATCATCTTATTGTGTTATTATGGACAAGAAAATGAGATGAATGACAGAGATTAAAAGTGAAAATCTTACCATTGGGCACAAAATGTACAAAAAAATAGTATAAGTTAGTACTCTATATGATATATATATATCTATATATATATATATACACAATTGCACATACACTCTACTGCAAAGTTGTTAGTTTGGAGATCCTTAAACGGGGAACTAATGTAATTTTGAATTTAGGTCTTAGGGCAGGTTTTGTCTGATAATTCCAAGATAATGCTATCAGCACTTAGTCAAGTGATTTTGCAACCTTGAAAACCGTTATTTGCAGTTTTAGGAAGATGATGTTTGAATTGTCTGAAGTTATCAAGTCGCAAAATAACCGGGTTTTGCTTGTGTGCTTTGTGAGTCGGCTCTAATTATATGCACTTGTCTAGGTGCTTGTTTGCTTGTGTGGTGACTCGAACTATTTGCAATCATATTCAGATTTTCTTTACTTTTTTTTCTTATTTTTTTTTGGTTCTGAAGCTGACTTGAAAGTTGAAACCCCAAAAGCCAAAATTGGTGATTTTGCGATTGAAAATCCGAGTTTTCGTTCGGTGCATCACAAAATCATAGTTTTCTAATCATTTTTATCAATCATGTACACCCAACAAATTGCTTTCAGTATGAATGAATGCAATCTCTAAGAATATTTCAACTTTGACATTGTATTAGAAGTGAATAGGTGATAGATCCGATGTGTTTCTTCTAATGATGATCGAGTTTGAAAATAATATGCCAAAAAAAAAAAGTTACTTTTTCGATAATTTCACAGAGAGCAAGTCTTGTAGGTCTTATGTTAGACGGCCTATAAGGCCGTCGTCATACTAACAACAGCATTTGTGTTTCACCAAACATCATTTATTTGTAGCAGCTAGCTGATCATTAATATATAGAAATTTGGTATTTCAAGTTTCTATATTATGCGAATAACTCCGATTATATTAATTTAATTCATACTCCCTCCTATTTTTTTTAAATGTCATTCTAGTTTTTTCAACTATTTGCCAAATAAATGTCATTTTGGATCTTTTGTACATATTTTTCTATTATTACCCTCATTTAGCCAATAAATACATTATGTCTTTTCATATTCACTCTTCACTTTTTCTCAAAACATTCATCTCTATCTTCATTAAATAAGGTTATTATTGACAAAAAAATATTCTTAATTAGTGTGCAACTTCTCAAAACGACATATATTAAAAATAGGAGGTAGTATTATTTATCACTATTCTCATGCATCTATGCTGTTTTAAGTTAACCCTTTTGGTTCTTCTATTGGAAATTGGAAGTCAGTTTTTGCAGCTGGAAGAAGAGTGAGTCTCAACTCTCAAGGCAAATTAACTTAGTTTTTTATAATAAAAATAAAATATTTGTTTATTTATTTTGTATATGCTATATGGATATCAAATCGAAACTCATCAAAAAATTATTAATTTGATATATTATATATGAAAAATTGATAACGATAAAATACTTTATAATTTAAGTTATTCAATTATTTTATAGTTTTAAAAATTGGTATTGATATACCGATTTGTTCCAAGCTCTCTTATAACCTAACACAAAGGATTACCAAATGATGCATAGGATTCATAATTTGATACATAGCATTTCGCGAAGCAGCACAGTCGCATATGGGCCTGATATCCTATGTACCATCAAAATTTGAGACTTTGTTTATCAAATAATCTGTTCAAGATAGAGTTATTTTAGTTAATCATAGTTAATTTTGAAAAATGTGGTATAGTCAGTTGTTAGTAAAATTTTAAAATAAAATAATTAAAATTGATTTGATGTAAAAGTAGGAGATAAATAATTAGAAATGATAGACAGTTAAAAATTAAAATAATCTGAGCGGATGAATAGTGAATTAAAGTTGATGTGATGTATAACAATGATTTGTTTGTATTAATTAATTATATGAATAAGATTAAAGATAGTGAAATTGTGTTAAAGTTGAGTATCAAATAAACGTGAGTAAATTAACTTGTTACTGTAAAAATTTTGCATTTATATACAATGAGGGATGTCAAATTTGAAAAATGGGCTTAGCAACTTTTGCATTTATATATGAGGAGGGATGCTTATGTATGGTTTTATTTTTAATATTGTCATTAAAAAAAAAAAAAAATCTGTAGTAAGTAATAACTATGTAAAATATAGGGAGTGAATTATAAAACAAGACTATTTATTTCATTTGATAATTCCTCGGATGTGTACTCATATTGGGCTTTTGGTTCTGCACCCAGTTTAAGTCCACTTCGATTTTGAACTTTTTTATCAACTCAAATTGAGAAAATTACACCCATTACTAATAATTTCTTAAATATA